GTGTGTGTGTAGGTGTGTGTGTGTAGGTGTGTGTGTGTGTATAGAATATATAGGGCAATCAGGGATTTCTCACACCTCATTTACAATGTAGTCCAAAAGTTCAAAGATGGCCATAGCAGGTCGGCTGTCCACTCCATGTCCTGTGAAGGAGTCATATGCATACATTTAAAAAAAGAAGAATGGACATAACCGTAAGCCATTTCTTTTATCATCAAATTATATTTCAAAATGTTATCATACATGAATGTCGAAATGCTGTCATTGCAACGTGTCTTATATAACCATCTGTGTATTCATGGATGTATTTGTGTTCATACCGCTCACAGGCTTGCCTGGTGGTCTGGGCCTCTGCGTGTTGGTGTGAGGCTCTACCTCGGCCCCGTCTAGAACAGCCCGTCCAAAGACAGCCTCCAGTTCTTTGGTGTCCGGAGGGGGGATGGGGTAGCGGCCGATTGCCAACTCCACCAGGGACAGACCCATGCTCCACACGTCAGACTGAACAGAGTAGTGAGTGCCCTGCAGTCTCTCCGGCTGTTGAGAAACATACAATCTACGTCAGAGGGAGCAGGTAGAGCCAAGATGCCAGGCAGGAGAGGACAGAGAGGCTGGGTGGGGAAAGAGCAGAGAGTGGAGGGGAGGAGGATAATGGAAGGGTAGAGGGAGGAGGGGGGTGTTATGGCAAGGAGAGGTGGGGTGCGGTTCGGGCAAGAGGACAGAGGATGGGAGGGTTTGGCAGGAAGTGAAGAGCAGCTTTGGACTGTTTTTGTTAGAAGAGTGAGCAAGGGCAGATGTGCGTGTTGGGAATTATGATGAAAGGGCAAGTGTGTCTTGTGCAGGTTTTCGGGATGGGTATCATACATGCAGCTCTCAGCACCCACCAGGTGTCTAAGACTGAGGGGGAAGGAGGACAAGTAAGAGCGAACACAGTTGCGTCGCTCTTTGCCAAAGAGCCCTTTTCCTGGGCACGGCCCTCAGGTTCTTGGCAGGGAAGTGAGGGAGGGCTGTAGGAAGGGAGGGTAGAGGGCGGGGCCAGTGAGCGGGAGCAATGTGAGAAAAAAGAGGAAGAGGAAAGTGGGGATAGGGCCAGAGAAAAAAAAAAGGGGGGTGGGGGCGCAGGCGTGCAGAGCTGACTCACCGACATGTAGGAGCGCGTTCCAACAAAGGAGTTGGCCATGGAATCTATGAGCTGGCCGCTCACACCAAAGTCGCACAGCTTGATCTCCCCGCGAGAGTTGACCAGAATGTTGGAGGGCTTGACATCTATGTGGCAGAGGGGATATGGACAAACAAACTTATGACGGGTTTAGTGAGATTCGTCATCTTGCTGTGTCTCAACTGTCATCTGTACTTAACACCTCAGTATGGACTCATCAGGAAGAGAAGAGTCTGCTCACAATAACAATTCAGGATTACACAAACAGCAACTCTGGTGTTTTATATTTTTGTTTGGGAATAGTATAAAGCTGGGCATGAATGGATTCGCATGTGTGTACCATATGTACACGGTGACGTGCATCTACGGCCCGTTTCACACTGGACACAAAACCCACTAACATCTGTCTTTTGTGTGAAGACTGCATTCATTCCCAGGTCAAGTGACTCTGCCCCTAACAACAATTTATCAGCTCCAGCTCTGATAGGCAGTGATGGAAACATGACACCCATGTGGAAAAGACTTATTTCCACCCCTTTTCCAGCACACGGCTGTCATGCGTATATGCAAAATGATTGTTTTACGAAGGCAATCTGGGTAAATCTTCAGCTGATTAACTTGTGTTATATGAACTTTTGCGAGGTGAAAATTAGATTTTCAGTGGAGATACTAATGTGCAGGCTTTGAAAATAAATCTCTATTTCTAATTTTAGACAGTTAACTATAATATTAGGGAATTTCTGACAGACAAAATGTCAACCCCCGCCCAAGAAGGTTATGTTTTCATCAGTGTTGGTCTGTTAGATAGTAAGATTAAAAAACTACTGGACACATTTCCATGAAACTTGTTGGAAAGTAGCAGTACGGGTGAGGGAAGAACCAAATACATTTTGGTGCAGATCCAGATCAGGAATAGGATCCAGGATTTTTGCAATTTGGTGCAGATCCAAATAAAAATCCAAATCTACTGAATGTAAATGCGGTTTCATAAAGTGACTGTTGGGCCTTGCAGAGGTATACTCTCAACTGAGTGCTCTTCTAGTTTGTACATAAAATCTTTCATGAGCCACTGTTATTTAGAGTTGAATATTTTGACCAGAACTTTAGTGAGCCGTGAGGGATGTGGGTGTCACGCTCAGCACCCCCCAGATTTGTCTGTGGTGCTGTGTTTATCGAGCGAGGGAGAAATTAACTAACATCTCTGTTATAAAACAAGGCTGCTCCTCCACAGTTCCCGCTCAGCACTTAAAAACATCCTGCAAAATAGCGGGGTATGACTGAGCCCTACAATCTTTCCTCTGCGGTGACGGACCCTCTCGCTGACCAAGGACGTTTGAGGAGTGACTGAGAAGGAGGTGGCGTGAAAGAGCGGGGAGAACGATGGAGGGAGACGCGGAGGGAGGGGTCAACAGGGCGCGGCTGCTGTATAATCACATCGGAGAGGCTGTAATTACCGCCCGAGCTCACAGACAACTCTGTCCTGTAGTACCACCGACCCTGTAGCACTGCTATGGACTTCACTGCACAGCACTGTCTGCCTTAGCCAGTCTTTTTCATAACAACACACCAACAGTCTCCACTAGTTTGCTGTGGAAAATTTGCCTGCTTTAGACTTCGCTATGGTCCGCCTTTGAATTTTGTTAGAATGCAAAGATAATGATTTTTATTCCGGCTTTTTTTTGCTTCATGCTACTAATTTCTATGATTAAGAACTCGTGAGATTTCCAAATAATAGCCTACCTTGTGGTGAGTCTCTTAAGATGTTGATGCAGTGTATATGGGGGGGAAAAGCATGACGACTATAAATACAAATTTTAAAGAAAAAGTGCAGGGAGCTGGTGTAATTAATGCGCTGCATCTGAAGTGGTTTTACTCATATTTAAAGTTCACTAACCTTTGTAAATAGCAGTCCTATATATATGGTTTTGTTCATTTATTTGTTTCCAAGTAGAAAGAAGATAACAGTGAGGATATTATCCTGCTTTTTTTTAATGTGATGTTTGGACTGCAACATGTATATGTTTGAATCGCTGCTGGTTGCGTCACCAGCATCAGCACATTTCAGCCACCACCAACACTGAAGGGACGGGAGTCAAATTACTATCCATGAAAAAACATCTACATTCTGTTATTGCTAAATGAGAATCACTCTACTGTAATCTGGCCATGTGGCCTTTCTAAATTACTAGAGACTAACATCCATAGATTTTATGGCCATTTCCAGACAGAAAACTATTTGAACTGTTTCTGTTCTGGTTCTTTCTTCCATTGTCAAACTGGCTGATGAAGAAAAAGACAGAATTAGCCATAGTAAATATGATAATGTAATTTAGTTAAGCACTGCATGGATCTGGTTAGCTGTTGCAGCAGGGTTGTAGGAATTGAATATGCTGTATTAGAGAACTGAATGGATCCAAAATTACAAATATATCATTGTTTGTTTGAATTTGCCTTTAAATATTTTTTGTGCATTGCATAAACTTTGTCTGAACCAAAGTCATGACACTATTTAAATAACGATTCTATAGATGTCAGAAATTAAGATTTGGAGCATTAATATTAAACCTTGAAGTTTGTTTTTTTTAAATTATCACTGGATATCTGAAGTCAAAGCCTCTCCAGCAATATGAACGTATACACCACCACCCTTTAGTGTCCAAATACATCCTGATCATTATCATCAAGATATCATTGTACATTGTAAACTACATATGTAGCATTTCTGGTATTGCAGTGTTCAAAGTGTGGGGCAATGGATTTTAAGAGTAGTCATGTTATTTATCGCAACAGAACCAAATCCTCACCTCTGTGCATGATCTGATGCTTCTCCCGCAGGTAAGCTAATCCTCTCAATACCTGTAAACAAGAAGAAAACATTCAACATGACACACAAAAATATAGTGAGCAAAATATCAGACAATAGAATAGTGGATGTTACTTAAAAACTGCCATTAATTTGGGATTTGTTTTTACACTTGGTTATTTGGAATTTAAAGTCAAGTTTAACACTGTCTGGCCTGTTTGTGTGTGACTCATGATGACTGGAAATTCACTGCTGGTGAAGCAACACACAGGACACGATCCCACAAGGAAGAGCAGTGCATATGCAAAAACATGTAGAGTACCAAGATGCTAATCTTTATGCCACTGCCAAATACAAAAGACAAACTATTCTTACTTTTACAAACAAGTCAGATCTTTAAAAAACAAGGAGAAAAGTCAGTTATACTATATATTTAACTTTTAAAAAGTAATTAAGTAAGCTACATACAGCTATGCTGACTTTTCCCAGGATTTCTTCTGGGATTCTTCTGGCTTCCTTCAGGACCTGGTCCAAGGATCCACCATCCTGTAGAGACAAGTTGCACAGTTAAAATATCACATTTTGAGAATTAAAAACACGTGTCTCTTTGGGAAAAGAAATTGTTAAAAAAAATCGAATGTTTAAATATCAGAACACAAATTCACTAACAAGTCTTTGTCTCTCACCATGTGCTCCATACAGATGCTGATCTCTCCATCGCTGTAAAAGGCCCCATAGAAGCCCACAATGTAGGGGGAGTTGCATTCATGCAGCACCTGCAGCTCTCTGATGATCTGGTTTCTGATGGCAGGTTTGATTTCCAGGTGAATCAACTGGAGGAGGGTAAATATGAAACATGAATAACTGCTCTGACAAAGACAAGAGCACTTGAGGCAGTAACATCATTAAATGGTTGTCTTATACCTCAGAATAACACACATAGGTGGAGGCTGGCATCACTGACATATTGCAGTGTGAGCAGTAACAACACACATGGGAGTTACGTTCATACATTCAAAAGTCATGACCAAAATGTAAAAATATTAATTGAGGACATGTCAGAACACAGCTTGGCAGTCCACAAGCTTGAGCTTGTTGCTGCAGAGAGTCTGCATGGACTCCAAATAACTTAATACATGCTCAACTGATAAGAGATGATTGAGGCAGAGAGACACATCTATGTTTGAGGGATTCAAATGTTTGGATTTAATGAAATAATAATTTTTAAATGTTGATGCTTAGTTTAAATTCACAAATGAGAAATACACTGAGCCAGACATTTTACAGTGTAATGAATTGTCAGTTAATTCGGAATTAAATCTAAAACTTATAGTCTGATAGAACTGCCCTGCAATAAATCCTCTCTTCATGAAGGTTGTCATGTTGAGATTTGAAGTAGGTGTTGATTCAACTGTACAACCATCCTGGAGGTTGTGATTTGTGTTACGGTTGAACTGCATTATGACAAAACTTGCTGGAAGGATGTCGTATGGGTCAGGGGAGAAGTCATACAATTTTGGTGCGGATTTTTTCTTTCTTTAACATTGAGAGGTATCACAGATTTCCCAAGGAATCATTTGTGGAACTTGAAAATCTGACATATTCAGGAAACTGATATAATTATGAGTGGGTGCACTTTGGTGCAACTTGATTGACTTTAAGAAGAATATTGGGCACTGGTGGAGGTATGTGCTCTATGTGCTGTATGAATATGTCTTCAGCCCACAGTGCACAATGTGCTTTTCTTCAGACAGTAAGTCAGTTGGACCTCATGTAGACATGTGCGCAGCAAACCAAGCCCTCACCAACGCTATCGCACCATGAAACAAATCTAAACTGAACTCAGAGACTGGGAACACGCCTGGAGAGTGTTTTCATTCAGCTCCTTCCACCTGACACACTTCACCTCTGCAGAAAAACAAAACAAATGCTCATCTTCACCTTCCGGGCCATGACCAAACCAGAGGGTTTGTGGCGGACCTTGTTGACCACTCCTCCGTTTCCAGCACCCAACTCACAGATGGGGTCAAAGTCCTCATCCTTCAGCTCCCCGACCTGAGCTTTCTGGGTGAGGAAGGCCTCCAGCCGTTTCCTCTGCTGTTCATCCAGGTCCAGCTCACCCAGCTTCTTCTGTAAGGCCTCGAGGTTTGCTCTGAGGATGAGACAGTGAACACACACAGACAGATGATGATGCAGGGACTCTTATCATCTGCATATAAGTGACGAGGCACACGATTACAATCATACAGTGCTGAAAAACAGTGAGAACTTCAGATGAGTAATAAACATTCTCTCTCTAAGAGCCCCACTTGATTGTAACCCACTGTGGTGTTACTCACTCAGATGCAGCATCAATGGCGTTGGAGGTGGCCTGTCCCTCCCCAATGGGCGTTATGTTCAGGGGCAAGGGTCTTTTTTTAGCAGGCATTACGATAACTACCCCACACGACTTTCACGAATAAAGCACTGAGCCGAGCAGCGGCAGCTGATGAGCTCTCTCCCTTGTTAGAAACTCAGTCTGAAATAAAGCAACAGGGTCAGCTCTGGGTGGCTAGTCGGTTAGCTAGCTAGCGTTAGCAAGATTTAGTGCACTGTCGGTAGCATGTCAGTGAGACACGGTGCTAAAACCTGTCATGCCGAGAGGAGAGTAAAAAGTCCAGTGGGTCTGTCGGTGCGTTTATAACATTTGGAAGAAGCACATTTCTAGGTTTAAAACGCTTCTCCTGCTTTATCTACCTGCTGCTACTAGCCATTAGCCACCTAGCCGCTACAAGCTAGCACCAGCTCCAGGAAAAATCGTGCCCTGCGTCTCCTTAGCTTCTTCTCAGACAACGCCGAACGAGTTTTAGCGACGCGCACACCAGGACACGGACTCGGCTGGCTTCTCTCCGCAGGTCGGCGACAGAGTCCTGCGTGTTGCGGCTCGGTGTGTGGGGGCTCTCAAGCGTGAAGGGCTACGGCCGTGGCGGATTGTGGAGGTGGTGGTGCTTCGGTACAGGAAGCAGCAGCTGCAGCATCAGACCTGTGACACCCACCGTGAGAGCCCTTCATAAATAGCGCGAGACTGAGGCTGTCTGACAGGCAGATAGGAGGGGTGCAGGGGGCTGACGGGAGACACACGACATGTGCAGAGTGTGATAACAGCCGAGGTTTGCTGCTTTACACGAGACACAACGTCCCGTTAAAACATCTGCTCCAGACTCTACTGCTTCTTATGTGTCTAATGGCAGCCGGGAAACAAGCTGCGAAGCACATCACTGCCATCCAGTGGTGAAGAGAGGGAACTGGAGAGTCCAGTCACCAACCACACTGAACTAATATCTTTATTAAAGGTCCAGAGTGTAAGATTTAGGTGGAAGGGAACTATTGGCAGAACTTTAATGTAGAATAATCCTCATGATGGTTTCACAGGTTTGTTTCATCTAAATTGTATGAATTATAGTTTTCTTTACCCCAGAAAAGACCCTTTATATTTAAATACTTTATATTAACATCGAGGGGACCCTCTCTACGGAGGCTGCCATGTTTCTTACATTTGTCCAGACTGGACAAACTAAACACCTTTTGAGTTTTTATGACAAGTAAAGGCTACCACAGTTTCTTTTTCATGTTTGGAAGGAGAGGGTGAGGTGAGGGGTGTTCAGCTGCAACATGCAATTTCAACACTAGATATCACAAAATTCTACAAACTCTACCTTTAAAGGGATAGTTCACCCAGAAATGAAAATTCACTCTTTATCTACTCACCACTATGCCGATAGAGGGGTGGAAGTGTTTAAGTCCACAAAACACTTTTGGAATTCCAGAAGTAAACAGCGTTGCAGCCAAAGCCAATCCAAGTATGTGCTGACCACTTCTTCATTCAAAGTAAAACAACAACAGAAAAAAACATTACATGCCTCCATTCTGCTCCATTCTTCTGTGGAGTCATCCAAGTGTCTGTAAGCCCCGACAATCAAATTGGACTCAAAACGGTTTCATTTACACCAAGTTTTTAATCTAAATGTCCTCTGTGATCCTCCCCCCAGAGTCACATTCACGCGTGGATCACAGTTGAACTTTAGGCTAAGAATGACCTCGGCACTTGGAGCAGTATGGATGCATTTGGCTGCAACATTGTTTACCCCTGAAACTCCAATGGACTCAGACACTTCACCCACCCCTCCATCGGCATAGTGTCTGTTATGGAAGTTTTCTGACAGCTGGAGAAAGGAGAACTCAAGCAGCAGCTGCTGTCTCATGCAGAAGATTTTAATGTAGACTTGATGCATCAAGGAGACCAGAAGGTGAAACAATAGACAAACGCTAACAGAGTAACATGAGACATTGTCACCCCCAAGTCTGAAGATGTCTCTCACAGCATCCCCATATATCTTCCTCTAATGGGTATTTGCATCACCCATTCCAACAGCACATTAGTGAATGGCTAGAATTGCTGTCACTCTCCATGTAACATGTAGGTGTTCACATCCTATTGGATAGTTAAGTCTAAATATGCATTCCTAAATCACATTGTGTCACATTGTGTCCTTACATTGTAATTTCTCCTGGAATTAGATAGGCACTATTCTCCTGTACTAATACGGCGTAATATACAATATACATAATATATAGTGGCATGTAGATAATGAGTGAATTTTCATTTTTGGGTGAACTATCCCTTTACAGCAACACTATGCTTTTTAACTTTAGAATCTTAACTTCAAAATCCATTTCCACTCCTCATCACGAACGCCCGCTTTTACACCGTGTGACTTCAGTGAGCAGGTACAAATAGGCCTGGGCAATAAAACAATATCAGTTATGATCGCAACATGAGTTTCATCAAGATCAATTCAACAAAGTTCAATATGTATCAATATAAATACATTGAGCACAGTGAGGAGGTATAACACATAATTGATCCTCCATTCAGTTGTCTTTCAGTTCAGTCAGAGGGACAATACGCGAGTTGTTCGATGGTTAACACAAAAGCCCGACAGACTGAATCATCACATGTGGCTGCAGAGGGCGCTGTTGCTCTGTAAAAATTGCATAGTGTTGCTTTAAATAACAAATTATGTAAAAAAGTAAAAATTCTGTAATTTGAAGCTTGAAAACTAATAATAAATCCTATCATATGAAGTTGAAGGGATGTATGGACTGCACAAAGTTAAGGGAAAATGTGTGAATACATTTATTTAAGCATCTTTCGCATTTATTTTGCATAACAAAATATTAAGTTAAAGGTACAGTTTGTAGAATTTTGTGATATATAGTGTTGAAATTGCATGTTGCAGCTGAATTTCCCCTCATCTCTCCTTCCAAACATGAAAAAGAACCGGTGGCAGCCTTCAGTTGTCATAAAAACTCATAAGGTGTTTAGTTTGTCCAGTCTGGACTAACGTAAAAAACATGGCAGCCTCCGTAGACATAAAGTATTTAAAATATAAAGGGCCTTTTCTGGGGTAAAGAAAACTACAATTCATACAATTTAGATGAAACGAACTAGTGTCAACATGAGAATTATTCTACACACTGGACCCTTGAGGTTAAAGATAAACAATAAAATAACCTTTCGAATCATGAGCACCTACTAATCCCTATATATTACTGTCTGTAAATCTATAATGTCACTATATGACGGCATACATTACAGGCAGGTGTCACCCTATTTATCCATTAGAACTTTAATTTTATTTTCATGCTCGCATAACCAATGTGATAAAAGCAAGACGTTTACCTTACTCAAATCAGTACTAAGCTTTACCTTGGTGACAAAACATTGTCAGGGTTTAACCCTAACCCTCATTGCCACCAGGTTTAATTTAAATAACCTCGAATGAACTTGCACTAGCAGTGGCTTAAAACCTGCATGTGTAACTTAACCAAGACGTTTTCTCAGAACATCTATAATCTGCAGTATCTAATCTGATTCCTTGTGTGCTCCTCTCTCTCAGATGAACACTTCACACTGTGTGACACATCTCGGTTTCCTCTTGTTGCTTCAGTGGTTGATGCAACAGTTTTGAAACACTCAGCAGAGCGAGAGCAGGTTTTTTTTTACCGACATTTAGATTCAGAAAGTATCATCCTCTGACATTTCCTGAACTCAACATTTTCTGTACCAACCCTCTGTAGTGTTAGGAGAAAAAAAACAAAAGATAGTCGTGATTATATAAATAATCTCATAAATCTCCTGTTTGTAAATAGCAGGCATCTGTTCTCATTTTTTTCTAAACTGCTAATGGATAAAAGTGGCACTTTTTTATTTTCTATTTATTTCATTTAAAAGGGACTTTATACAGTTCAAACATAAATGTGACAGTTTGATGCACAATACCAGGTTATGGCTTTGAGATCATTTACACCAGTAGACCCTGGATGGGTCAGAACAGGTCAGTAACAGCACACGACACAAACAGAGAACTGCCACATACAAAGCTTTACACAGAAGAGCACATAGAATCAGTGAGTGCAGAGCTGAGCAGCTTTTAACAGACTTTACAAAGTGTTTTTAAAGTACTGATGCCATCAAGTTAACCGCAATCAAAGTGAAAATATCGGACTTGTTTTTTCAGATTTATTTAAAACAAAAATGAACAAATGAAAGCTCTGATTTTACTATTTAAGTCTGTGTTTGTCTCGTCCAATCAGGGACAGTGAGACTCCAGTGATGTATTGGCTGTGCGGTCATAATTGATCCGTGAGTTGAACCACAGCTCCAGTCTCAGGACACATGCACTCTGGAGCAGGATTTCTCTACTTTTTGAATTTCTGTATTAGACTGGATTCTTCCCTCACGTGTGACCATATATAGTATGATACATCACTGGAGGGTTCCTATTAGCTATAGGTGATGAGCAGAACCTGGTGTTCTGACTCTACTGTCTGCAGCCTCAGCAGAAATTCAGGTTACCTCAAGTCTGACAGGCCAAATTCAAAATGTTTAACATTCAGTATTTGTGGAATATGGGAAAAGTGCAAGATATGTAAACAGTCGACATAATCGTTGAAGAGTTGTTCCAGACCATCGACTGTATGTATTTATATACATACAGTCTATAATGCAGACTGAGTGGCTGACAGCAATCTCAAAGTTTAATGCCACCAAATAAGAAATAAAGGTAACACATTATATTAGGGAACACATATCAACCATTAACTAGTTGCTCATTAGCATGGATATTAGAGGCATGTTGGCTCTTTATTAGTCCTTATAAAGCACTTATTAATGCCTTATTCTTAATGACCTTATTCTGCAACTACTCCATTGATTAAGTTTTCCCTTAATAACCTCATAATTACTGCTTATTGATGGTAAGTAAGGAAGTTGTTGTACATGAATTAAAATCAAGTGCCTGGATATGTTCACTTTGCTTGTTCCCTGATATAAAGTGTTACCGAAATAAAAAATTAAATAGAATTTACATTGGTACAAGAGAGATTACAACAGTAGAGTATTTTTATTTCCCTTTTTTGACATAACAGTTATCATGGAGCATCCTGGTGGCCAAGGTGTTTTGAGGTGCTGGCAAGTAATAGTCTCAACGCGCGAAGCTTCAATGCGACCATCAACCTTTCTGAAATGTCATTACCCCCCCCCCCAACAATAACCAGTCAACTTTCTTCTGACCCAAACATTTGGCATTAATTAAGCGGTTTACTTCTTCCTAAATTAAAATGTATTTCAACCAGAACTTAATTTCATACAAGACTAAATTTACATGAATTTTTTGTTTCACAGGCTGATCCTGAGATTTCAGGAGAGAAAACAAATAGGGTCCAGTTTTTTCTGCATTATAAATTATGAAAACTATAAAAAAAAAATCTAAATAAAACAATGGCACACATTTTTAAGAACTGATTTTAATTAATTCCACACGTCAATAACAGCTGTTAGAATACGATCATTTGAAATTTTACAGTTTTGTCCTCAACAGGCATCAAATGTGTCCCCAGATCTGAGCATTTGGTACAGGACATGAACAATCCACACCTCAGAACCAGTCCTCCCAGTCCTCAGTGGCATCAGCTCCAGCTGCTGCTGCCCTTCAACAGCTCCTCATCTGTTCGCCCATAGGAACAACTGGAGGCGATTCAAGGCTTAATAAAATATTATTTAATTTTATTGTCTTTTAATATGAACATATAAAAAACACAACAAACAAAACATTTACATCAGGGATTGTAAGCCTCTGCCCATGCTACCTTATGCATTTATTGTACGATGAAGAGATGCCACTACAAAAAGACCAGACCCTCAGCTCTCTCCTGCTCCCAAAACAACTTGCACAAACACATCTGGCTCAGATCCACAGAAGCAACCTGCACCGCCTCTCATCTTTAACCATAAAGGCAAAGAGAAGTTTAGGAGATCCGTTCAAATAATAACCTTCTATACCTAGTGACAAATGAACAGTGTCATTTTAAATGTATAGCAGTTACTCCATTTGCCTTGTAAAAAACAGGTATTAGAGTTCTTCACAATTACTTTTTTCTTCAAAACTCCATATACAGAATATCCTTTTCATGGACAGACTCAGGTGTAGTAAAGGCCATCAATCAATTTTGTGTGATTACCAAATATTTATCACCAGTATGTTAATTTTGAAAGCTACTTCAATGTTGCAAAAAGAGGAGAGAAATGGAAGACCAGATTTTTCTCAACCCACTTTTTTCAAATCAACAGCCCGCTCGTACGATGCACTTACCGACAGAGAGGCCTCGGTTAATGTGTAAATATAAATTCTCTGCATTTGAACAAGACGCATGAAAACCAAAAACGTGTGCTGTTCAAACCGCAACAAAAAGGGACAATAACTGTTTTACAGTGGAGAACGACTGCGCCCTTTTTTTAGTTTCACATTTTCTGATTCCCATGCATGAGATGTTAGAGGATATCTGGTCACAAAGGAAATTTATCTTTGATTAATACTCACTACATGATGGCGTTAAAATAAATAAGCCATAAACTCTATGACGCTTCCAATGAAAGTGCAAACTGCTCTATCAACACAGCAATATTTTCTGACCATCCTGCAGACGAACCTAATGCAAACACGTGCAGCCCATGTGTCCTCATCCGAGGAGCAGCAATAGCAAACCAACAACACTAGTATGGGTGCAGAGTAACATTAGTCTGAGCCTACAGTGTGTGGCAATTTAAGTCCAATTCTACTCCAGCAAACAGACATGACCTAATCTACATTGAGCAGAAGGGGGATTGTTGGTTGAAGCAGCTCCACTTGTTCCAGACGGGACAATTTGTAATTCAATGAATGACTAAACTTGGCGGCGGTCGCACTTGTTGTGTTAAACATGTTCAACCCCAGCCGCAGAAAAAAATGCTCCGAGTGCTTCTGTGACCCAGGTTTGGAATTCATTCACAGGAAAAGAAATATGACTGTTAATCAACAGCCCGGCCATGAGCCTCTCGACACCCAAAACCACAGCAGCTCCTGCTTTCTGCAAGTACAAGCTCCTGTCCGTGCAGAACTACAGCCAAATATTATGTAGATTTATTACACATAACTGTTAAGAGAACATGAAGCAATAAAATAAATATGATGCTTGCAGAGAAAGACACCAAAATATGGGGGCGAAAAAAAAAAAAAAAAAAGAAAAAAGGACAGCACTTCTGAATCCTGTTCCATGACTGTCCTTTACCTCAGATTCTAATTTTTTGTGCTGCTCTTACTGCAATTGAAACATAAACAAAATAAAACACCTCTCAGACTGGGGAGTCTCATTTGATTGGCCAGCTCAGCTAGTTTTAAAACAACAGGCTCCAATCTTATACCACTTCACCAAAAAAAAAAAAGGCACCAAAATCTCAAGACCATCTTCTGTCAGTGAAATCTTAAAATGCATCTGCTTTGGTGCAGAAGCCGAACAGTAATTTTGATGTGTTATGCCCATTTGCAATGTTATGCAATGATACATCAACCGTAATAAATCTTAATAAAGCAACAAAAAAAACTACAGCAATGTTTTATTTAGTGGGACAGCTCCACCCATCACTGACACCAACAGTTAACCTGGTGGTTATCTACAAACTAACTAGGTTTTCAACAAAGACTTTTCTGCTGCAGAGGAAATGGAGCGGCATGTAACGATGGACTTAAAAAATAAAAATAAAAAAAGTCTCCAGTGTAAAATTGGCTTCAGAAAGACTCTTCTGTCCTCTCCTTCTTCCCAGCTACTCTCTGGTCAGTCTGCTAAGTTTGTTTTTTTTATGACTGAGGTAGGTTCTCTTATCTAAAGGACAAAATAAAAATGGAAAGCATCACACATCAGAGGCCAGTATTGTGTTCTGCCCTTTTATAATTAAAAGGATAAATTCCTGAAAAAACCCTTTCAAGCTTGAATTCATTCTATGAACGAAGAAACAATAACCCAACAGACGAGGTTTTGATTTGCATCAAACTCCACATACCTCTGCCGTGTCCTCCCCCAAAGTTACTCATGCCTCTTTTCCATTGCTGTTTTTGATCCTTCACCAAAAACTACTGAGGTGCCTCCGCTTTTCAACTTGCCTGTTCATCACAAATGTGACAAAAATCAGAAACGCAAACATTGAACACCCACGGCTAAAAGAGCCAGTAATTCCAAGTCAAATACAAAGAGTGATGGGGTGGAAGAGAGGAAATAGTCTGAAGAGCGGAGGAGAGGAGAGGAGGAAAGGGGGCGATGGTGGTGTCGGGGTGCTCGATCCATTCAGTTTCTTTAGCAGAGGCAGGACGGTACAGATATTCACTGTGAGGTGACAGTTGACCAAAAAGAGTTAGAGTCGCTTCCAGTGGTGTACAGTACAAAGAGGAATCCTAATCGCTCTAGATTGAAGATTCTTTAACAGTGCATGTTTGAGTGTGTTTGTTTTGTATGGGTAGAAACCAGAGCTGCTAAAAGGCTCTAATGTTGGGCATAAGGGAGGGTCGTTGCATCTAGTGGATTACTGTTCCTGTCCTCAAGTTCTTTTGAGCCCCCTGCCTTTGTCTCTGTGTGTGTGTCAGTCTATGCGGGGACAGAGCTGCGGGGTCAGTAGGCAGTAACCAGGTCCTTGTCGTAGTTATATCGGCCCCTCTTCGGGGCAGGACTGTCGGCGCTATCCTCTGTGTCCTCGCTGTCTCCTCCTGCCCCGCCGCCTTCCTCTTCAGAGGAAGAGTCAAGAGTCAGATCTACCACCGCACCTCCGCTCGGTGCCACGGCAGGTCCCCCTGTGCCTCCTGCCATCCCCACGGAACTGCTGCCAGATTTGCCCGTCTGGCTGGTGCTGCTGTGGGCTGGTGAATGACCGTTTGCCTCAGGAATGCCTGCAGAAGGAGATGTCATTCAAAAATATGCATGTGTAACAAGATGACAAAGACAGCAGGGTTCCATCTGATTGGCTCATGGAACACCCTTTATCGCAGTTTAAGCCAATAAGTATATCGCAAACGTTGATATCGTGATGAAGATACATTTTCGATATATCATGCAGCCCTAATGTGTATGGCAGCTATTTTATATCCAGGGATATTTCTATTCTTTTGGTTTCTTTTTTTTAGTTTTGCATGTTTAAAACATCAACAACACACCGACTCACTCATGGTGAATCATTCGTAGAATGGCCTGCTGTGTTCTTACACATTATCCAGAGTTTCTATTACAGGGCTGGTAGGAGAAACTCCGCACGATCCTCGCAGTGTCTGACATTTGCCTTCTCACATAAAGCCCCTCTGGATCATTTCAGGAGAGTATCTGGTGTTAAGTGCTTTCACTGTCTGAAAGCAGTAAAAAATGTTACAGGGTTGACACTCACATATATCAACAACAGGGTACTCTGGCGTGTTGCTGCGTTCTCTTTCCCTGTCCCTCTCCTTGTCATCTCTGATGGGTTGCCAGGAGCCGTCAGTTAGGTACTCAATCTCCTCAATGTCTTCACTTGTCTGTTTCAGGATCTCAGATAGCAGCCTGAAAAACAAACTGCAGGTTAGAGTTGCCTTACAAAACGGATCACACATCCACCAGTAAAGCAACAGAATACTCACCAGCAGGAGAAAATTGTAAAATGTCGACATTTTCAAATATATATATATATATGGATATTATTCAAGTTACACTCCATAAAGAAAAAAAAGCAACTTTTGCGAAAATCCTTGGATGTTTATTATAAATTGAAAACTGCACTCCATCTGTATATTTCAGAGCCTCGAGGCATCCCTCAATAAACCTGACAACGTTTAGTAATTAAGCCATTTGAAACTGAACATAGAGATCAGTTACAGACAAGACTTTCACACAAGCTTAATTTAAAGGTACAGTTTGTAGAATTTTGTGATATCTAGTGTAGAAGTTGCATGTTGCAGCTGAACACCCCTCACCTCACCCTCCAAACATGAAAAAGAACCTATGGTAGCCTTTTCTGGAGTAAAGAAAACTACAATTCAATTTAGATGAAACAAACTAGTGAAAACATCATGAGGATTATTCTACATTAAATTTCTGCCAATAGTTCCCTTTCACCTAAATCTTACACACTGGACCTTTAAGGAATGCATATAAACCTTAAAGCCAAAACGGTAACACAATGCTTCCAGTCTTTGCCAAAGTAAGAACAATTTGCAAGAAATGACACGCCCGAAGTGTTGTTGACAAGAATGGACTGCAGGCTCATCTGTGTTTTGCCAAAGAACTCACAATTCTCTTTATAACAATAATCCAGAAAAAGAAAGACACAATGTACTAGAAACATTTGGGACCTTTAGATGGGTCAATAAAGGTTTCCAGGTAAAAAAATTAATCACAGTAACATGGCTTGGTTCTCTAAATTGTAGGGCTGTTAGAACAGGTAGATCAGAGAGCCAGTTTAGCTGATCGAAGGTTTTGAACTAAAACCTGATACCAAGTTTAGAAATGAAGAACAAAATGGATAATGACCCTCTCATGACTTGTAAAACATCCAAAGCATTTTCAATAAAAACACAGAAGGCTGGAGCAGGATTCAACTTGTATCAAAAGTCCTAAAAAGGCCCAGACACCTGTGCAGCTTTGTTTATTTATTTTCCCCAGGATGGCTTTGGCACACAGGGTCGTCAAAATTACACAAGGGTGAATTTTCAGTATTTAGTGAAAAGATGATGCTGTGTGGGTGGAACCAGTCAGAGCATGTTTCTGTCTCCTTACCCATCAATTGTGAGCAGTTCAAAAGGAGCCGGCTTGTCACAGACAGGGCAAGTCCATGTGGGCTTCTTCTCATTCATCTGCAGGAAGAAGACTGCATCGAAACACTGGAGATGGGCACAAGTTAAAACACGACAAGGTACGCCGAGTCGCATCTTCACCAACTGGGAAATAGGAGAGGACAAAGCATGTTAAAGGCATCCAGCAAAGTAGCAGCACAAATATTAAAGACACTGTATCACAGCTGAAAATGTCAAGCGTTCTTATGTAGATATACTCACTGGACAGATGAGAGAAACTCGTAGCCCTGTGGTGGCAATTTCGCTTTCTGGGTCAAAGCGAAGTTTGTCTTGGACTGTGGATAAATAGTGGATCAACTATTATGAACCTTTTTTTTTTTAAAGGGATAGTTCACAGAAAAATGAAAATGAATTAATTATCCGCTCACCACTATGCTGATGGAGGGGTGGGTGAAGTGAGACTTTTTGAGTCTCAGGGTCAAACAGTGTTGCAGTCAAATCCAATATAATTGAAGTAACTGGGGACTCCTCCTTCAGACGCGCTGTGTGTTAGCATCGCAACGTCCACTAGCATCACTACTTCCGGTAGTGGACTTTCAGGCTTAAAACACTGTAAACTACCTTGTTTCGAGTTGAATGTCGGGGCTTGCGGACACATTGATGACACCACATGAGCAGTATGGAGGCATGTTTTTTTTCTGTTGTTTTATTATGTCTGAAGAAGAGGTCACATTGGCTGCCACACTGTTGACTCCTAAAGTGTTTTGTGAACGCAAACACTTCTCCCACCCCTCCATCGGCATAGTGGTGAGGAGATAATGAGTGAATTAAATGTTTTTGGTGAACTATCCCTTATACATTAAATAGACAATCCAGTCCAATCAAAACAGTCAATAAATTGTAAAAATGTAATTGAAATGAGTTTAATATAAAGTACATACAAGCATTGAAATATGTAATGGAAACTGGAACAATTTAGGAGATCATACAAGTAAAACTTACTGCGTTCACGACAGCGATCTGCACTCTCCACAGAGCAGAGTTTGAGTTGGCTGAAGAGGTCTGCTGCAGTAAAGACCCTCACTAAATACACTGCCACCGAGTACCGCTGAAAACACCAATTCAAAGGTTGTGAGCACAGACTTTAAAAAGAGATAAAAAATAAAGCATATAGAGCAGCTTCAAGTATTCAGCCCCCTTCAATTTTTGTTTTAGGTTATAAATAATTTAAATGTTTGTGGATCAATCTATACTAAATAACCCATAATGACAGAGTGAAACTATTTACTAATTTATAAAAAATTAAAAAAGATTCTGAGATAAAAAGACAACAACAAAAAATAATTTAATGTTCTTGCAAATGGTACCTTCTGGCTTAGGGCAAACCTGAATGCAACACACTGATAGGGGTGGGAATCTCTAGGCACCTCACGATCTATTTCCCAATTCAAAGGGCTACGTTTCCATTGTATAAGCGATTATCGATTCATCAAATAATTTTATTTCTATACGTGATTTATTTATTTTGTTAATCATTGTGTGACTAGAGGTGTAGATCTTCACTAGCCTCATGATTTGTGCTTTAAAAATGTATTTTAGACTGTTACTGTTATTACAAATGTGCTGTTGTCAACAGTCTCTCCACATTGTTTTGACATTCATTCAGTTTAATCTTCAGTGTGCTGCATGTTTAGTCTTTACTGTATCAGTGTGGCCCTGCCTGGCCCCTCTTGGCAGCATTGAGGTGCATTACTCTGCTGGTAAACAAGAGATTCTGCTGAATTCCTATTTATGTTCCTGGGTAAACGGGGCGTCGCTTCTTCTGCAACACAGAAGTGTGATTATCTGCGGGGAGAACTTCTCTATGCGACTCTGTGTGTGTGTGACTCACAATAAGTGATAACCACATGTATTTAGTTATTAATCATGATTCTGGATTGTTCTGGTTTCTTAAACACAGATGTCCTGACTGCGCGCGATTCGTGTTATTTGTAGCAGTCAACTACATGCCCACATGTTTAAATATGTGCCTCATAAACTCTAAAGCAAATCAACAAACACAAAGTAAACGACACACATTCTGAAGTGATACTTAGGCAAGTTTTGTGCCGAGCAAGCTAGTTGCTAAGAAGCTGAAACCTCTTTCAGAGGGAAAGTTGATGAAGGAGCCTTGTTGCCACTTAAGTTTGTCTTTTTTTGAAACAACAGAATACTGTGAACAAGTTTTTCAATACAGACTTGCAAAAACTTAGTTCTGCTCAAGACTGGCTGACTTAAACCTGGAAATCAGCTGCAAGTATTAAACAGCCTTCACATTAGGAAGCATACTGTATATATTCAGTAATTTAATATGGGCCTTGAAAGTTGCCCATCAAAAATAAGAAATGTCAATGGTCTTGATAGGAAAAAGTTTCCCCACCCTTGTTTTACGGTCTATTAGTCTCAGGTTTGGCGAACAGAGACTTGTCCAGTCCAGAGATATCTATGCTTTGAGGGGTTATATTGCTGAAAGGTGAACCATCATTCCAGCCTCAGGTCGCATGGACTCTGGAGGTGGTTTTCTCCACAGGTCTCTCTGTGATTGACAGCATTCATCCTTTGCCTAATTCTGACCACCAAATAAATTTGCATTGTTATTTTGGAAAGTCTAGATTGTAGATTGATGGGCAAAATGGCGATTTTATCAATTTAAAGTTAAAATTCTAAGTGATTGGGATTTCTAAGCAACTATACACAAGTGAACCTCAAAGCCCCAAAACAACCTGAAACTTTAACTCCCAAGCTCTTTTGTGGAAAGAGATATCGCCTCGTAATCACCATCTCAGCTTATGTTAGAAGAATTAAGGCAAACGTTCAATCCTCCTCATTATAGAGTTGGATGAGGGTACCGACTGAATTTCATCAATAAGGAATCAACAGTGCCCAATTTCAGTACCAGAGAATGCACTGCAGGTACTATGAGGGAGTAACAGTATAGAGAGAAAGAGCGAGACTATCAAGACGCCACCACCCCTGCACCTTGTCCATGTCACAGTGAGTCAGGGCGATGGTGAGTTGATAGCAGTTGCTCGCTGAAATAATTATATGCAAAGCTGTACTGAACATTCTGTTTTTGATTGTACGGGTGCTCCAATTGATCAGCCACCGATCGTTATCGGCCGATATTCCTTCTAATTAGTTTAATCAGCAATCTCTATACATGCCGATCAGATGAGGCAAAACAAACAGCTGAATGAAGTACAACTCTCAGCAGAGATGAGAAGGAATTTTGATGGCTCACTCATCATTTTTTTCAGTAAATACTTTTGTATTCTAACTTCAGTAGTTATTTGACTACTTTTTTGTTTTTTTTTCCTGGAGCTGATGGCGGAAATAGCTAACAAGTGAGGCATCTTGCTTCTCTACTCATCTCTGTTGAGAGTTGCAAATGCACAGTATCGATTAAACATGACCATGGCTGCATTTTGGGCTTTGCTGGTCTGGCAGTTTTAGCAGGTGTCTGATCACCGTTTGCTTCATATGTTTGTGTTCCGCAATATCACCAATATCACAATGCGTCTCCCTGCCCAAACAAACACGCTGCCACAACTGCAGGACCAGCCTTTTGCGTGTGTGTGTGTGTGTGTATGTGTCCATTCACACTCCAATCATAACCCTGTGTAATCCGAACCAACACAGAAGTGACTAGTAGCTACAGAGCAATGAGTGTGGAGGTCGGAGATGATCGTCTGATTGACCTTTACAAAAGGAGGAGCAGACGCCTCGTCTCTAAAGTCAGACGCAGGAGAAAATCATCTGGTGGATTGTGGGTTCCCTGTGGAGATCCCCTTGGTTCATGAAGATCCGCAGTAAAAACCGGAACAGCTTATTTTTGTTGCATCCGTTTTTCGTTGTTTGAAGTGGATTGATATGAACTGTACCAGGCTTGTGGGGAGACTGAAACAGACCATAAATATACTTTCCTATTCTTTGGCTATTTTAGTTTATGTAGTTTCATGTTAAGTCAAGTCCAACAGTTCTACAGTGTTCTTCTCTTTACTGTTCCAAATGTTGGTGTTTCCAACTTTTCCCCACACACCCACTACACCCCTCCTCAACCAACAACGCTAGTTTGCCTCTAAAAAAGTAATTTAACACTTAGTGACACTTAGTGAGGTGCTCTGGTTTGTTTAAAACTGCAGTGTCCTGTTACTGTTTCTTGTGTTTAGGTACAACTTTCACAGTTCTTATCCCTAATTGGTTTACAAAGGCTCTAAAAAAAGGGTGTGAACAGAGGTGAGAGAGTATTCGTTTGTCCTCCAGCTGCTTAACAGGATCAGGATTGTGGGAGCAACAGTTAAGAGGGTCACTGAAGTAATTCAGCCCTTGGCCTCGAAGAGCCTTCTTTAGGAGTTACACCACGCAAGGATGAGCAGAACTCATGAAACACTGTGTGTCAGCTTCCACTGTTTCCACCATGACCCTGCGCTAAGCCAAAATATGAGAATCAGCATAAGACTCTTACCTTGCCAAAGTTTCCCCAGGTGATGGTGACTCTGTTAGTGACACTGGAGAGATGCAACCAGGGAGTGATGTTTACAGGTCGACAAGGGCGACGAGGTTCAACTCCAGGCTTATTAGAGGGGTAATAACCCTGTAAATACACAGACACACAAATGCCAGAGTATTATTTACGTCATCCTAAACGTTATCCAGTCTTTGAATGATTTGTATATACAGGCATCAGAATTCCCTCTTACGGGCTTTGATATAGTTTGAAAGTAGTCAGGTTCTTATTGTGTTGGTTGCACAGTCACTATTTTATCAAAGAGACACAAAAGTCACACACAGGTTCTAGTCTTTACTTTTATATAAAGAGGTAAAATATATTACTGAGTTTCAAGCAATGTGTTTCAGTTTCTAGTAATTTCCAATTCAAGTAACAGTCATACTTAATCTCAACACGCCGACAATTCCATTTAAACATGTTGAAAACAAATACATTTGAACGTTGAACTAGAAAAGTTACTGAAAGACAGAGGAGGAAAGATGAAAATTAGTTTGGGGTTGGGTGGAAAAACACTAAATAACACAATTATCCCCATTCTCCTTCTACACGATGTGTAGGAAGAGGAACTGTTTTGCAAGAGAAAACCTTCCTTCTGCCATTTGCAGCTTTTTTGATGTCTGTAAGTAATATTTTTAATAATGTCTATCACTGGCTTTAGGTTTGGTCTGCATACATCAACATCAATATCTTAACACTCAAGGTTTCATCTTCACTACATAGTTACTGCATAATGACTTGAGTTGGGCTGTCAACAAAAACCCTATCAAAATTCAATTTTTGTGTCAGCAACATGCATTGAACACAACAATGCAGTAAAAATGCATCTTTCCAACAGCACAAAACACAACAGTTTGTTATCCATACAGAGACTCAGGACTAACAAGAGCAGAAGATCAGCTCTGCTTTAGTCAAATAAGAGAATTGACTCACTGGCACATGACAGTAGGACTGGTTGACTTTGACAGCAATATTGGGGGGATACTGGTCCTCCTGGACACCAATGGAGTCTGTGTAACAGATTCTGCAACAGAGTGTCAAGAGAGAGAAAACATTACTATCATATTTAAACATGGTAAAACTATCTTTCCTTTTTACTTAATATCTGTCAGACACATTCTGGTTAACACTGGCGAAACGAGCACAGTCCAGACAGGATTGTGTAATTAAGTATTAAGTGTATTAAGTTTAAATAGGAATTGCTGTAAACTTACCTAAGAACCACTTGGATTGATCTGATTCCTGGACGAAGCTCGCTAAGAAAGTAAAGGTACTTAATTAAAATGAGCATTAGTTATATAATCCTAAATTAAGGTGCTAAAAATTAAGCAAAGCAAAATCTGGGAAACTATGCTGAACTCCCTTACCTTGCATTTCTGATCTGATCAGCTTGGTTCGGTGTTAATTCAAATATGCATTGACTGTCCTGCAGTTTCTCATTGTTCTGGGCAACTGTAAAATAACATTAAAACACAGTGCATAGTTTAATAACTCAGAAGGGGAAATAATATTTCTCTAAAAGCAATAATTAGAATACAAGAAGAATAAATTGCATACACTTACTTAGCTCTGTTGGTGACAGCAGTGTCTCCAAGGTTTGGTAAAAGGGTAGTGGCACCAGCTTGACCTCTGCTGCAGGTGTCGCAATTGGTTTGGAAATGCCGTTGAGGTAGTCTGCGCCCTGAGAGGTGGCAGTGGGGGAGGAGCTGAGGGACGAGTAGGCAACCGGGACGCCCTCTGGACGCCGTGCAGCAAGCCAGCCAGATGTTTTTGGGAAGCGCGACTCGTAGAGCTGCCTGACATTCTTCAGAAGCTCTGGGCTGTATTCGGTCTGCACCAGCCGCAGTGCGCGCCCCACCAGGTCCTGCTTCAGCCCGCTTTTGCTGCGACCCATCGAGGCCAGCAGCGTCTGCAGGTCTGAAACCCGGAAACTTTTGACCATGTTCTACAGAGAGGAATGAACAAAATTTTAGATATAAAGTTGAGAGACATTGAAGTACGTAGTCAGAGGAAGTTTGAGTGACTGTCATGAACAGCAAGTTGTTAATCGTTAGTTATTGGTTGTTTCTCAGAAGGTATTTATGAGATGAGTTTGCCTTTACCCAATGAACTTGCCTTGAAGGCTCTTATTATAGCAGCATATTACACCTGCCTTGCTTTAAGTTCTTTATAAACACAAGTTAAAATGCTCCTTATTCTAACCACTTGCAAGTATTTAACATCAATTTGTTATTTTGCTACCATTAAAGAATTTTGGGAACCCTGATTCTCTAACAGCATTAAAATGTATGACTAAATGGACGCATTTCACTGTATTACAGTCACTACATGCATTGAACACAATGTAAGGCACAGAGACATGTACTCAGAAGGAATGCACTGACAATAAGCCCGCCTACAGTTCAAGCCGGAAAAGAAAATACTTAAACACTTGGGTCAGTGTCCCCTGATCTAAAACAAAATATTCAGAGGTTCAATTAATTGTAAAAACTGTAGCTTGGACCTTTATTACCATACTTAAAGAGGATATGTTTTCATCTGGATTGATCTGTCTGTTAGTTAGCAGGTAACAATGATAAAAAAGAAAAACAAGCATGTTTGGGGGACTTCAATTTTTGAGTGTGTGTGCAAGTTGTTGGAGATCCAAATAACAATCTGGATCAAGTGAAATCAAACATGTTTCAAAGGGGGAATGTTGGACGAGGTATGAGCTCTCTGAGTGCGCTTGTGTTTATTTACTGTCCTGTGAGGTAGAATATAGGTGCAAATGTAAAGCTCACTAACAAAATTCTATAGGGACCCTCGTAGGCCAATCACAACCAAACTTAAAAATGGAGGAAGAATAGTCTCGTGCTCTCCGTTTACTATATGAATGAAACTGTAACTAAAATTATCTCTCTTTCTCTCTCTCTCTCTCTCTATATATATACAGAGTAATGTCACTGAGGCCACAATGCGTCCAGGCTTTGATAAGCCACACTAAACTTGTACAATATTGACCCAGAGAGTGCTATCAATTACCTCAGGACAAAGCATACGCATGATGGAGTTCATTTAAAGGCAGCAGCTACGCAGAGTGTATCAACTTGACATCAAGTAATGTTGTTGTTGATGGAGGAAACAGCAGCAGCCTGACAAGCTTCAACTGCCAGACGTGTCTTCAAACACATTAACACGATAACGAAGCTGGACGTTGGGCCTCTGATCGACAAGCTGCGCACAAATTGCGGTCGTAAAATCAGAAAGCTTTGAGTTTCTTCAGCCTGACTTGAACAACAGCAGTGCAGCCTCCGCTATCGTCTGGCTAGCTCCTTTCAGGACTGGGCTGTTGGCATTCAATCATAGCAACTGAACAATTTGACAGGTGCTCAGTTCCGTACACTAATCGACTAAATACAAAGAAACGTATCGGTCAGGTAAATAACGTGACTTATTTACAGGGCTGAGAGGAAGCTGGCAGCAGCCCCCGATTGTCTGGATGGTCCCATCATTCATTTCGATGTCCTCTTCTAGCGGCAGCGTGATGCTAGCCGAGCCAACGCATTTGACTGCTTAACGCTACCTAGCCTGCTAGCTACGTTAGCGGCGCAGGCTAGTTCGTTTCGTCGTGAACAAAATGGGCCACGTTTGACAGAATATAGACATTAAACCATGTCCACACCAAGCCCCGGCTTTCCCCCACGACGGGGCTGAACTTCAGCCCGCACACACGCACCCGTCTCCCCTCAAATGAAATCTATCCAAGCTCTACTCACCATCGCTTCCACCAGTTCGGCCGCCATCTTCGAGCAGCAGTACCGCGAGAGTCAGAGACGACGGCTAGTCTTTCACCAATGGGACGCAGAGCCAGCTTTGACGGACAGGTGTCTTCAACCAATCACCGCGCGGCTTTGACCGGACTCCTTTGCTCTTCATACGCAATGGGCGGGCTCGCAGTTTTTTAAAGTTACAGTACAACTTTTTAAAAAACACTAAGAGACGGGTCTCGTGTCAGAATAAGGCCTCGGTGTGTGTTCATGATTCGATTTATCAAAGCCTTGTGATATCCGTGATGTTCCGGTTCAATAGTGTTGAGATATCGTGAACACGCGTGTTAAAAACTGTTTAAATTCACTGTGTATTTAAAGCACGGGGTGTCAAGTGGAACCGGTCGCATGGTCTCCACAAGTCCACTCCGAGCAAAATAATCCATTTCGGGTTGTGCGTCCGGTAGTCAGATACGGAGTTAATGCTTTGTCTAAGGTATGTTCACTACTGAATTAAAAATAATAATTAACTAAATACATATGCACCTATGACTATATACTGACCACACCGTGTCTTAAACACAAATACAATGTTATGTCATGCCTTTAATATAATGTAAATAAGTATGTAAGGAACACACTTACACTCCCTGCGGTGATCCACCCCAGGTTTTCCAAAGCTCCTCATATGTGGCAGAGAATAGCCTCATGGAAACAAAAATCAATTGAAGGAATTGCAGTATCATGTAATAACATGGTGTGTTTTGTTTTGGCTTTACTTTGGTTGTGAAACGTCAATAGAACAATACAGGAGGCTAAAGCCACCTGGCTTTGCCACCATGCTGGTTGATAAATGGTGAATAAAAGTATATAAGAGCAATATAGGAGATATACAAAATATAGGATTTATTTATTTTGACATAGCTGTTTAAGTGTATATCACTAATGTAGACCCAACACGCAGCTCTGTTTGTTCTCCACAATACAGGCTACTATTTTATTTTTTATAATAATTACATTTCAATTATTGGTGTATTTTTTAATCAACAGAGACTATGCATATAATAGGTAAATGATAAAGCTAATTACAATACATGAGCTTGCTCATGTAAAGGCAGCATAGTGGTTATGTTGCACATAGGCCTATATTTCATGTTGCATTATTTAAACAGAAGAGGGCAACATGGTCCATGATTTGACCCGGCTGTCATTTAATCCATACCCTGTGTAAAACGGACAGAACAAAGCAGATCAACTGCAATCCGACTGTTAATGTGATCTAGACTAATATGATGTCTGCTATTGTATAGTCCAGTAAATACAATGTATCTCTTGTGCAGATTATTCTGATTCTATATAACTTCACAGCTCATGGGTTAACCGATAAGAATATGTGCACACAGACACTGTTAAGACTAGACATCTGTTTGTTGAGGATCCCAGAGACTTTAGGAATATAAAACATGAAAGTAAGAGAAACTGACATCAAAACTATTTGATGTCAATGCAAGATTCATACAATGCAGACATCATCACCAGTAATGAAATTCTTAGTCTTAGAACCGAATAAACTTTACAAAGTAGCAAAATAGTAAAAAAAAAAAATCACAATAAATTACAGTTAAGAAATATGTTAAATATGCATATATTACAATACCATACTGTTTGTGATACCGCTTCAATTAATCATGCAGATTAAGCGGATGCAGATACAGAGTATGTGAGCGTTGAAGTGTTGCATTATTACACATGATGTTTTTCCTTGACTTTGATCTTTCTTTTATCTTACTTATGGAAAGATTTACAGTTGCTATTTTAGTGATTGAATAACATTTTAAGATGGATAAGGTGCTTTAGGAAGTTTCAGAATTTATCAAAAAGACCAAAAAATGTTTGGGTTTTTATTTGTTAAAGGACAGTTAACAGTACAAAATTTAAACAAATGTCAGTCAAATAAATATAAAGATACAATCCACATTTTATCTCAACATTTGACAGTATAATTCACTGTCTGATTTTGATGTGTATCATAACATGAACAAGAATACTTTATTTAAATACTGTAACAAAGACTTGCTACATTAGTTATTCACATTAAAATATCATTACCGTCAAAGCAAAAAGTTTAACATTTAAGAAATAAAGCTTATTCAAATAAAAAGATAAGATCAATTAGGAAATATACAAAATTATACTAGATCATTTTTATAATACACATTACAGCTTATTTTTACCAATGTATAACAATTTTTACAATGATGATTGGCAAGAATCAGAAATAAGGTTGCAGGATGCATAACACAAAAAAAGGTTCATATTAACAGCAAGAAGTGAACTCATTGGATTTTTTATTCATACATTTTACTGTTCGGCTTTGTTTTTTTCTCTATAAAACATTGAAGTAGAGTCAATAATTACTGCTCAGTTGTAACTGGAGTAATTCTTTGGACAGCATCCACATGGACAAAACAACTTTAACAGGATAACACTGGCATCTAAAAGGCCTTTGATTCTACAGCATCCATCCTCTGCACACCATGTCTCACTAAATCTTGAGTGTTTAATCTCCCGTAATTACAAAGATTTGCTTAGGTTAATAAAAATAATCCGCCTGAATTTAGACCCCCTACCTGGACCACCCCTGTGCCTCCTTTGCCCCTTTCTGTGAGGGATAAATTCACAGTCATATAAATAGAGTCACCGTCACAACTATGAAGCACTACTCTTCCATTCACGAGCAAAAAGGCTGCTGGATTTTGAGGAGGGGGTCTCGATCAGGTTCTATTTATTGTAGAGCTGAAAACGTTTACTTAAACTTTGTTGGCAAACAACGTGGCCGCATTTAGTCTTCGAGACTGACGTCATTTCCACAGGTTGAGATTGTGTGGCTCGTGAGCGCATCAGGGTTAACAACAGTTGAGTGGCTCATCTTTATCTGTGATCTTGTCAACAGTAAGACTTCGGCGGAAGAAGCGAGGGGTATTGAGGTGTTCAGTCCATAAGGGGGTTTTATTTTGAAAGGAAATGGTCATGCTGCGAAACTCAGACAAACAATTCTGAGAAGACTTTTTGGGCGAAACGCTTTCTACTCATCACCTGATAATTATTCAACAGTCAGCCAGCTTGGAAGTAATTAAACCTCTTAAATGAGTGTGAGATATCTCAATTCAGAAATAACAATGGAGGACAGAAGCAGCCGCACCAGCGCCAGGGAGAGGCTGGGACTGAGCTTCACTATTGACTACCTTCTGTTCAATAAAGGAGTCAAAGGTTCCAAAGAAGAAGCGACAGGAAGTCGTGCGGCAGAGCAGACAGCGAGCAACATGCTAGATCATCAGAATCCTAAACCCGAAGAGGTGGGGATTCGCTCTGAGAAACAGCCGCAGAGGTCAGAGGTAGACGCTGAGGAAAGGAAAGTCAAAGAAGAGGAGGGGGAAGAAGAGCAACAAGAGGAGGGGGAGGAGGAAGTGACCACCACCACCACGTCTGTCAGCATCGGTCCAGAGAAGTCTGCCGACAAACCCAACCAGTCGTACATCGCTCTCATCTCCAAGGCAATCCTGGCGTCTGAGCAGAAGAAGCTGCTGCTGTGTGACATCTACCAGTGGATAATGGACCACTACCCTTACTTCAAGAGTAAGGTATGTTAACTTTTTTGCATCTTTTTTTGAACATGGCAGACAGAGATAATCAACTATTGTCAGGAAGTAGCTGTTGTCTTAACAGAGGGATTTAGAAAGTCAGATTGGGCGATAACGTGAAGTAAGCTCTAAGAAACCTGCGATCGCTGTCTGGGGGGAGTGTTTTGAAATTACTCAACGCTCTGTTACTTTTGTTAACGTGCCAAAGCTCCTAAAAAGTGTGTTTGCCCGTCATCGTGTTTATCTTAGTTACAGAAAATAACATGGCAGCCATTTTCATGTGGAGCAACATAGTTGGCACAGGTAATCTGTCTGAGTGGTTAGGCAATTAGGTGCTCGTAGGGACACTAGATGATCTTCTTGTTGGCGAATTCACAAATAAAGTAATCCCGTTGCTAGGTTGCAAACCGCCTCTGCCGTTACCAGGTGCAACAACAGATTGGACGTAGCCTAGTGGATTACAGTCGATCATTGGTTTGACGTGCTAAAAAGGTAACTCAAGGTGTCGTGTCTTGCTGTGATCATATACAGTGTTGACACGCTATCTCACATCCTGCCAACAACAGGACAAGGTGACATCCTGAGGAGGATCAGCCATACTTAACCAGCCACCTATGTTAATTTTCAGATGGGGTCACCCACCGTTTAACGCTTATTTACCTTTAGGTTTTGCTTTTGGGCCTAACAGTGTTCGTATTCTTTGCCCCCCAACAGGATAAAAACTGGAGGAACAGTGTGCGACACAACCTGTCCCTGAACGACTGCTTCATCAAAGTTGGCCGCAGTGACAATGGTAAAGGCCACTTCTGGGCAATCCACCCATCAAACTATCAGGACTTCTCCAACGGGGACTATCACTGCCGGAGGGCGCGGCGGAGGGTGCGCAGGGTGGCGGGACAGCTTCCCCTACCCTCCCTGAGCTCCCCCTACCACCCAGCTCTGGCTCGCCCCCACAGAACGACCTGTTGGTGCTGTCCTCAGGCATCTGCATTCCCTCTGACTTGCTCAGCACCCAGACTCTTCTGGCCCTGGTCCCGTATGCAGCCACAACTGGGGCTTCACCCGGGCCTGCATGCCTCTTTACCCTGAGAGTAAACACTTTATATTTGTCAGTTATTATGTACTCACAATTTTGACTTGAATCACCAAAATATAAGAGATATTTTAGAGACTTTTTCTGCAAATTATTATGTCATTAGGTGACGTCAAAATTGATATGAAATTGTATATTATTACATTATATCCAGCTTTGTATGTGAGGTCATTCAATAATTAAATACAATTTATTAATCTTTGCATTGCATTTGTTTCATTTGTATTCAGAATGAATATTTTGCTATAATCTCATTAAATCATATTGAATTAAAGTGACGTTCTTTGTTTTCTGTGTGTGTGTGTGTGTGTGTGTGTGTACATCCGGCTTGTCTGTGGGAGCAGATAACACTAAAAGTGAGCCCAAATGCTAAGACACCCACCCACCATTAGATGCTAATTAGTCAAAGCTGTCGGGCTGCAAAATCTTCTGCCTTAATAGACTAAAATCGGGATTCCCAAAGCCGACTCCCGAGGATATGAGGCCAGATAATCTGAGCAATCCCAAATAGTTTCAAGAAATAGGAAGCTTATCACACAGTATAATCTGGAGCCGCTGCCGCAGAAAAGAGGGGGACCACGGGAGGTCGGGAATGACGGAGGCAGAGGAAAGGGAAGGAGGCAGAGAGATTGAGAGAGGGGAGGCTGATTTATTGGAGAGAGGTGGGTAGGCTTTTTTAGGAGTCACATTTGTATATTTAAAGCAGTCAGGGAAGATATTTGCAGCAAATGGAAGGAAAGATAACATTAGATTTGTGCTGAACATACATTTAACACAGTTTGGATAAAGTGAGAAAATATTTTGTGGACCGTCTCTAAAGCAGGAGCAGATCATTTATAAGATTACTCCAAAATAATGCCATAATAAGAATCAAGTCAATTTCTTACCTGTCTCACATCAATAGTGAAATTCCTCTCTGACTTGCAAAGGTTGGCATTTACATCCCCAGTGCTGCAGCCAAAGAGGATTAGGTCATACATTGACTTTTCTGAAGTTTGTTTGTCTCGGCTCATGTGGGCTTCTTATTTGCAAATGATTGAATATTTGATTAAGGCAGTAGTTGACATTAAATTAGATTTGGAACGGACAAACAATATGTCAGAGGGATAAAGCTTAAAGAGAGAGAGAAGAGAGGGTAATTCACAACAGTTATTTTCTGGTGATGTTCATTAGAACAATGACAAATCCATCTAATTAATTTTTGTTCACCAAATCTTCCTATTCAATGTCGGCAGCTAATTGGAGGCCTAATTTGCTTAATTCCCATGAATTGTTCTCCGCATCAAATCCTCTTCTATTCACCAGCTTTAAGGCTTTAATTTGGTTGCATATGTTTGCTGTACACACATATGCACACGTGCTCACACACACACACACACACAAACACACATACACAGGATAACACACGCACATTTACACCAGTTTACACACACACATACAACTTCTTACAATCTTGCAGGTTGTGTGTGTGCGTGTATAAATAATTAAGAATTTTTGATAATATAATGCACATGCAAAAAAAAACTGCAAATAACATGTTCAACAAAATCATACAAAATTGTAATTAACTACCTTTCTGAGTCAGTGAGATTGAGGTCATGAGCTCAATCAGAGTGTGTGTGTGTGTGTGTGTGTGTGTGTGTGTTCATACTGTATGTGCATGTCATTTTGTTAATCTAATGAGATGGGCGGAGGGGATGCAGGGGGGCCGTAGATTAAGGAACAAAGATTTGTTGGTGATTAGCAGAGAGTGAGGTAAGAAGATCAGCCCTGCTGAGACAGCGATGAAACATTATGGCCGTGTTTTAATACAACACATTTACAGCAGCATTCCAAAGCTGATTCCCTTCAGCCTTACATGTATCTCATTGATTTGACTGTAGGCATACAACCGTTCACACAGCAGAGAGTGAAGCTCAAACCTACATGAAACTAAATACAAGATATATTAGATTCATGTTATGTTGGTTTTCAGCTTGAAGCTTCTATTGTGTGCAATATTTTATATTAACAGCATTAGAAATTGTTCAACCTTCTTTTGATTCAAAAGAACTGAATAACGTATTAGGATACAATCATTATATTGAATTAATTCACTCATAGTGCTGTTATTGCCAGAGTTACACATAAATTATAGTTATGACTTAAGATAAAGGTCTTGTATTGGCTGTAAATTAAAATTTCAACTCTAGTATATATATATATATATATATATGTACTACTAATTTCCCTAATGCATCTAAATGTGGGAAAATTGCTACATTTACTTCATAGTTTAAAATACTTAGACATACACATTTTAATTTTTTTTAACCTGATTATGAAGATATTTCTTTGTCTCCAAGCAAAAATAATACAAACCACATCAAAAAGGTTTTTGGCCAATACTGAGACAACTTAACACAAACACAGACCTTTAAATATCTTTCCATAATAAATTATCGTTGAATATTACTGTTTTTAGGGGCTTATTTGCTACTTTTCAACTTTTTCTCCTTTAACTCATAAATAGTGATTTAACAATTTCAAATGTTCCACACAGATCCTGGTTTTAAATTGTGGTTTAAGGTCCAGCTTGTCATTTGTTCATTTTAATTCAGTCTGACTTAGATTTTTGCTTAAAAGTCGTACAAAGAGTAAGACACACAACATTTAATTTTAATCCTCTCATAAACACTGAAAAAGGGAGATCTGCAGTTTGGAAGTGCTCATGCACATCTTGCAAAAAGACTTGATAACTCATGAAAATAATCATATTTGAAGTGGATGTGAAATGAAGAATTTGGCATTTATTTGACATGACTGTTAATTATTTGCTTCTTTCTCTGAGGTTTCCTGGTGGAGCGACTGCAGCTGTATACGAATGACTCCTAATAGGCCCAAAGCCTGGAGGAGTCCAAATTGCCAGACTATTAGAAAGCATGATTGCAGACAAGTAAGTAGTATTTGAGGCTTAGGAAGCGCTATAGCTGAACCCAAACCAGCTGCTATTTTCTGGTTGTGTCCCACCACGAACAATAGTCTGGCGTTACCTCGGCTTCAAAGGCCCCATAATAGTCAATCGATCAGAATGCGAGGCGCTATTCTGCAGATTACTGTTAACAATAATTTGCCTCCCAGTGCACCGTTGCCATCTTTGAAGCAATGTTTTATTGCCTCTCTTTTTTTTTTTTTCATCTGCATCTGTCATCCCCGAGGTCCAGTGTTTGATCTCTCCCCACCAGTGTCTGCCTCCCCGGGGTCGCGTTGACCTGTTGATTGGCAGCTGCGATCAGACATATGGTCGGACGAGGCATCGACCGCAGCTCCCCGGAGACAAAAGCAGACTAGTGGGGTTTTTCCCCCTCTCTCACCGCGCCGAGGAGCCGAGGAGCCGAGCAGCCGAGGAGCCGGGGCTACAGCGCCGGGGAGAAAGCATCCGATCCGGCCACTAGATGTCGCAAGGTGCAAGCGAATATCTCCAGCTCCATGAGGATGCACTCAATGTAAGCACATGATACTTTTTGTCAAAATTTCAATTTTTTATCAACCCACGGTCGTCAGTGTTGTAACCAACTCAGCATTTTATGTCATAACTTTTTTTATGAAATTTTTATTTTCCCCCATTGCTATTATTCATGAACATTCCAAAAAACTCCTTGAGGATAATCCTCCTCACCACACTTCCTTTTCCATATGACATTTCGACCCCTGCTATAGAGAATAAGGGCTGTGTAGTTATCCGAGGTGATAGGATACGGCCTCTAGCAGGACATATAATTAATGTGGATGATGGCAAAGCGTTGTGTTTGCTGGGTGTGATGCCAGGAGGCCTCTGGTTGTTGCCCAGCTGTGTGCTTCATGGAAACCAAATAGGGACAGCTTGACTCCCAGTGAAAAACACACAGATGTGATTATCAACCCAGTGTGTGAGTGTATACAGATATGTTTGAGAGGACCACTCTGAGCCCAGACCTTACAGAGTGAGGACATTTGACCATGTCCTCACTTTTGACGCACTTTTAATGGGCTGTTTGAGCTTTAAAACTTTGTTTTAAGATTAAGTTAAGGGATAAGGTTAGGCAGTTTATTATGATGAGTTAGGGTAAGGGGTGAGAACATACATTTATCAAATGAGTGTTCTCACTAAGATAGAAAGAAGTACATGGATGTGAATGTGTGTGTGTGTGTGTGTAGGTGTGTGTATACATGAATTCAGCATATAGAATGCAAAACACCCCCCATCTCCATCTCTCCTCCTATATAGCGAGCCAAGTGTTGCCATGGTGATGCAGCCAGGGTCTTGCAGTGATCCCCACTGACCCTGAATGGTGACCTCTGACATTTAGGCCATGGCCAGGGTCAAAAGGTCAGCGATGGCTAGAGGGCAACAAGAGCACTTCCATGATTGGCACATGCCTACTTGCATCTGCAGCGCTCACCTCCTTGTCCAGTTTGCACCTCACATTTGTATGTGCTACAGAGCGGAGACCATCAGCAGCAGGAGGTTCGTCCTACCACACTGCATCGTACAGTTAGCAGGTTTAGCCCATTCTGTGCTCACGGCAATGGAAGGCTCCACATTGTATAATGTGTCATTTGCATTCAGTGTTGCTACACTTTCTATGTCTCTCCACTTCAGATTTGTATAAATCGTGATGATAAAAATGCATGAAACTGGCTAACATCCTGTACCATGATGGTTATGATAGCAGTAATGATCATTAGTATTCCCACGGCCCCTGCAATCCACTGTATGGGAGGATATTTATAGTTCTTCATGTGATTATGTGTGTATGTATGTATGTGTGTGTGCATATGTGTGTGTTTGTTCATTTCAATGGGGGGAGGGCTCTGCACCGCACCATGGTTCTTCTCGTGGGGAATAATTACAGAATTGTGGGTACTAAAAGTCATGTGACCCGAGCCTTCTGCTCCCAAATAATTTATCCCCCGGCTGATAGCTCGTCAATATCAATTTATTAATTTAACAGTTCTGGACTGATAAAAGGTAGTGCGCACAGTTAGATTGCTGAAGCAGGGAATAAGGATGAATTTTACAGTACAATGGTGTGAGAGGA